GAATAAGGACGTACCAACTGTTCAATTATGGGTAGCATATATGTGAAGAAATTTCGTTTCTGGCATTTGTTTAGTTAGAGAATGACCGATTTTCTTAGAGAAGCAGGTATGATAATTTTTATCATAGAATTTATTTCTAAATCTGATAAAAATGTTATTTCATTGTCTCAAGTTGTGAAGGCGAAATCCTCTATTATTAAAGCAGAGAAAATGACAGACATAGCTAATGCTAATATTCTCGATCATGAGACTGCTGAATTTTTGAAAAATAAGCCGAAGAAGACTTTAGAAGAGATATACTCCCTAGACCGGTACCACATTGCAGATTGTTATGAGATTTCACCTGAATCATTGACTACGGATTTCATATTGAGATATGGGAATTATAATCATATGAAATAGTTCAGAGCTTATAGGCAGTTACAATATGCTGGTACTAACAATGAAATGGGCATTGAAGCTATTTCCTGTAAAGATTACAGAGAAGATAAACTTATTGTAGCCACCTGAGCTAAGAGACATCGAATTTGCCTGGAATTACTAAGAAATTGTACACCTGCTAGAGATATTGACAATAGGACACGATATAAAGCTGATAATATTAAAATACGCATGGGTACTCCTGAGTCGGTATCATATCTACAGAGTTTAGTATCTAAAATGGCTCGGGTATTTGATAATATGGATGCATCACGCAAAGCTAAAAAATCAGGATTAAAAACTGTTCAGGCAAAACTTGGTTTACTAAATTCAGCACTATATACAACATATAGATTGAAATTTAAAGCTACTAATAAGAAAAGTTCATATTATCATTTAGTTGGCCCATTCGATAGTAGTGATGCTCCTAAGCTTCCTTTATATCAACAGGAGAAGAAATATACTGGGAGAATAGTAAAGATGTCTGATATGCTTATAGTAAGCTTACCTCTGATGAATTATTATTAGATAATTATTCTGGTTCTAACAAAATGAATATCACGCAAATTACAGAAGTATCCAGGATTTATTTGATATCTGTTAATATTATTCTACTACGGAGTGATAAAATTCTTGAACACCCACTTCCTCACTGGTCAAGAAAGCTTCAGCTTACTAACCCAAATCAAAAATTTTTTTTCAATACATTCGAAAAGTTAGGGTAGACAAGTGCTGATATTTTTATAATAGATTACGCACTTGTCTACCCTGAATATACTACTATATACTATCAAAAAAATTATTTGATTTTTTCTCACTTCTCGGTAGACAATTCAGAGGCCTTTTCGGATTGAAGGGCCTCAATCCCATACTTCTGCCTTATCTGGTAATTTAGCAAATGAAATTTGGCAGAGTGTTTAGGACAACATCCTGTAATAGAAGCAGTGGGGAAGTCGCAAACAATACAAGGTTTTTTTTCTATATTTTTTTCATATAAAGTCCAATGCCTATAACATCTGGTTGGATGCCAGCACTTATTTCCACAAATAGTACCATTCTTCTTAATATATGGGCAACTAAATATCCTATCATGAGTACCATTCTTCTTGATATATTGGCAAATAATATGATCCATGATCAAAGGTGCCAAAGTGAAAGTATTTTAGGATATAAAACTCTTTTTCACTTTTAATTTTATAATAAAATACGTATTTAAATTAATCAGTATTATAATGAGATAAATTATTATTTCATACTAACGCTATAGACGCTAAAAAAACAGTACTTAATATTCTAACTGGTCGATGAATCAACCTAAATAGGAGGTTATTTCAGAAGTTAATTCGTGAAAGCTATAAATATGCTGACAGACTTTCTAATTATTTAGAAGATATTGAAATCATAAGTATTGGTAAGTTCGAATTAGACCCTTAACTGACTTTTATCACCCAGCTCTAATTCTACCACTATCTATCTTAGCGAATAGATCAGATATTTGTAAAAAGTTTTCTATTACTGTGGGATCTGTCATCGAAGATGGGGTGAGCTTATTCACTCTTAAAAAAAATAAACGATCATTGCTCCAGAATTTAATCAAAATGAAGTATTCTAGTGATAACTTGTTTATACTCATAGGAATAACTTGGGAGCGTAAAGAGACAAAAGTTTGAAGAAATGACATACTTATGAAATTCCCCCACCACCCGAATTTGGCCTCTTTGAAATATAGACCAGGTGCTTTATGTGATGTATTCACCAAAACAAACGCTTTAGAACCAGAACATATATTAGCTCTAGCACAAGTACTTTATTAAAATATGGTTACAAAATAGGTCTTAGACTCTAAGTTTGTTTATAGCCTTGAAATGGCGGTTCCAATAACTATATATTTTTTTTGCTTATCCTATCTACTCGCAAATTTCAAATTGATGTAAAATCTATTTCTGGCCAGAGTAGGTCCCTTTGAAACTGTGTGCATAATACCTTTGACTAAGTTATATTATTTTTCTATCTTTCAG